TGCAGGTGATCCTGGATGGACTTCACAAAAATCCTCATGGAAATCTCAATCTCCCATGTGGTTGTTAATCACATTCCATAAGGTAATTTATCTCATTAATCTTACATGAATGCTGGGATTTATGTAATTCTTGACCATGGAGAGATGTTTATCATTATGCTTCTCCATTGCATGTAAAGACCACCACCAAGTCCCCCTGAGCAAAAGAGGTCTTCTGGATCTTGAAACTTTTGGAGAACATCCACAACACCTGCCATGTGGGGTTCTCAAGGGGCTCTTTGTCTGGAAGAGTTGGAGACCCTCAGATGGAAATCCTCCTGAGAATCTTGTCAACCATTATTGCTGCTGATGAATGACCTCGGGCCTCTTCCTTCAGCCGCTCAATCACCTAGGATCAAACGATGCTAAGTGGGAGGAAGCGGGGCCACCTTCCCCACCCCACTGGAGCACACATGCACACACCTGCAGATGGTCACGTTTTGTCTTTCCGTACCATTTTTCAAAGATCAAAGAAAGCAGCAAGCACTATTCAGCAGTAAGGAAAACAGATGCCCAAAGTGAATGCCCAATGGCCACAGTTACCAAAAGACAGTGGAGTTTTTTCTGCCAGCATCTCCCTCTTACCAGTGAGTCTCAGGATAAAAGTATGACATGTCCACCAGACCGTCCAAGATTCCCCAGGCAAGATTCTAGCTCAGAAAACAATCCTATCGAACACCTCTTCAGATGACTCTCAGAGCACTGGACCTCCCTACAGAGCCATGGGCAGATGAGCACAGAGGGATGAGACCACCAGTCTCTGCACGTGGCCCTGTGGAAATCACACAGACGTCTTCCTCATAGAGATTTCTTTGGCTCCCTCTCCCACTTTTTTTTTTTCTCCAATTAAAAGAAAACTCAGTGCCCCGGCGAAGGATGAGATTTTTGCATGCATTCGTAGTGGCCTCTGGATTGCCAGAGAAGTCTGATGAGAGACCTTTTCGTGTTACAATATAGGACAGCACATTTCTGATGGGAAGATCCCTGGAAACATCTGTGAATTCCTCTATGCGAACTCAGCTTTCAGATTGTGAAGTACAATGGGAAATTCATGGAGTGGGCAGAAAGTCTAGAGCTCTGTTTCATCACAGAGCTCTGTGGAATCTTGAAATCACCTGGGAGGGTGAGGTATACAAGGGGGAAAGGTGATATGAACAAGAGACAGCAGGGAATTGAGCAAAGACTGCGAGGATATGAATTCACAGTCAGGAACCCCTCTTCCCACCACCCCTAGATCAGCGCTTAGACACACTCTTTAGATCCCTCTGTTGACTCCCCTGAGAATGTCCAATGAGATGACTTTTGAATGCAATCAATATTAAGGAGAAATGATGACAAGTAATACCTTTTTTTCTGTCAGATTTTGCAAGTATGTGCAATGTTTGAGCCCCCTTACTCTAATCTTTTCCCCTTACTGACCACATTTTGACTTGTTGCTTTTAATGTCTTCGCTGAGAGTTAGTGAAGATCAGAGAAAGTGAAAACTCACCCCAGTTAAAAATAATAGTTCCTGGGGCCAGAGGTGGTATGGTAGTTAAGGCTCTGGATTACCACATGGCTAACCACGGTTCAAGTCCCAGGCTGGACAACTTGAAAATCATGCCAGACACGTGTGTGTGCAAGCCCAAAATCCCAATTGGAAAATGGAGAAGAAGGGATTGTGGGTAGTCATTCCCCCAGGGAGTGATTTCTCACTTTCCTTCTCTCTGTCTCTCTCTAGTAAATGCACACACTCAAGCAAAAAAAAAAAAAGAAAAAGGAAAGAAAAAAAAAGAAAATTTAGTTCCCACTTAACTAGAGGACAACTTAGTGAGAGAGAACTTGGAGAAATCAGGTTACACATTTAATGGTGCATTTTGGTGGCTTTAGAATGTATAATAGTACATTAGAGTTGCTATCCACCAGCCATACTATAAAATAAAATAAAAGACTTTTCTTCTTTTGTCCCACTTCTGCTCCTCCACACTGATAAAAGGTATTTTCAGGAAGCAGATGAATCAAATGGGGAACTCAAAGCTACACTCACACTTGGAGGGGTTGTTTTGGCTGGTTGGTTTGCATTGCACATTAGATAAGCCTCCTGACAGTTGTTAACTATTAGCCCGCTGTGGACCATTAGCTGCAACATAGGTGTAAATGTTTGACAGAAAAGCACACGCATGCCAACACGCTAACCAGCACCCACTGGCACATTCAGGGAGCCAGTTGGTGGGCAGGGAAACCAACACAGCGAGAGCAGAAATGATCTATTGTGGACCCCCTCGACAGTGTTTCTGTTAAATCATTTGTACATTGTTGAATGATTTACATTCTGATGGGACCCGGTAATCCCAGAACGACAATTCCAAACATTCCTCCACATCCCAGCACTGACACTTGACATCAGTGCAGCAGCCATTTGCCTCTTTCAGCTGGTTAAACATACAGAAAGATTGTCCCCAATTCTTCCATATGCTCTTAATAGTTCTCTCAGCTCAAATTTGGGGGGTTCGGTGACAGGTATTATTACCCATCTTTGTAATTCCTAGCCCTGAAAGAGCCTAAATGAGATCTCTCCATCACAAAATGCAGGCTTCCTTCAGTGTGTTTTTTCAGTTACAGGAGACTGTTTAAATTATAGGAGCCCTCCAGAATAATTAGAAAAATGATGAATCCGAGTTTGATTTATAATTCTAGTGACAAGTAGCTCTTTTTAAACTAACTTCAATTATAGGCATGGTTCTGAGACTATGTTGACTGAGGCTGAGTTCTTACTGATTTAGGGGCATGCCAGTCCTAACAGAGGTCACATACAGGACCTGCTGGGGGTTGTTTCCAGTCCCATCACTGCCACAGAGGTCCTGTGGCTTTGGACAAGTCCCTTAATGTTTTTGGATTTCGGTTCTTATGAAAATCAAGGAGCTGGGCTAGCTCTTCTCTAAATCTTTCCTTGCTTTTACTGTCTTGCAGTCCCTCACAAAAAGATCTTGTGAGGAAACCAGCAGTTAGCATGATGGCTATGTCACTGGACTCCCACGTAGTTCGCGTCCCGGACCCCGTGGCTAAAACTCATGCTGGGCGCGTGTGCATGCATGCCCAAGATCCTAAGAGGAGAATGGAGGAGAAGGGATTGCGGCATGACCGTCTCCCCTGGGGGGTGATTTCTCGCTTTCTGTCTCTATGTTTCTGTCTGTCTGGTGAGCGCACGCACCCTATAGCGAAAACCTCTCCAAAAAAAAAAAAGATCTCGTGAGATTAGGGGAAGAAAAAAATAAAAATGGGTGTTTTTACTTGACAACAGAAATGTGATATCAATTAATTTTTTATTCTTGTATGCTTATGAACTCCAGGTTTCCCTTTGTTTTAACATATGAGCTAAATGTAACAGTAGTGTATTGTGTACTTAAAAGTTTATTAAGAGGGCAGAACCAGCAGACGGCATAATGGTTATATCACTGGACTCCCACGTAGTTGTCTGCAGTTCGAATCCCACACCCAGTGGCTTAAAACTCAGGCCTGGCTTGTGTGTGTGTGAGTGCCCAAGATCCCAAGAGGAGAATGGAGGAGAAGGGATTGAGCTGTGGACATCCCCCCGGGGGGATTTCTTGCTTTCTGTCTCTGTGTCTTTCTGGAGAGTGCACGTGCCCTATAGCAAAAACCTCTCCAAAAAAAAAAGGTTATTAAGAGGGTAGAAACATGAAGTGTTTTTTTTTTAGAGGTTTTTGCTATAGGGCACGTGCACTCTCCAGAAAGACACAGAGACAGAAAGCAAGAAATCCCCCCGGGGGGATGTCCACAGCTCAATCCCTTCTCCTCCATTCTCCTCTCAGGATCTTGGGCACGCATGCACACACACCTGGCATGAGTTTAAGGCACCGGGTCCAGGACTCAAACCATGGTCAACTACATGGGAGTCCAGCAACATAGTCATTATGCCAACAGCTGGTCCCAAAACATGAAGTGTTTTTAATCACAAAACATAAAAACACAGGAAAACTTTTAGAGGGGATACTTTTACAGGGGATCTGTCTACTACCTGGATTGTGCCAATGGTCTCGTGGGTATACGCATAGGCCCAGACTCATCGAATTGTTTACATTACACATGTACAGTTTTTTTTGTGTGTGGGTTTCAATTATATCTCCATAAAGCTATTAGGGAAAAAAAAATACGAAGCCTAGTCATTTATATATATATATAAATATATATATATATATATAAATATATATATATATTGGACTTTTTTCAAAAAAAAACAAAGAAATGTTTACATTCTTTGAAATCATATCCCTAGATTATAATTAAGAATTTGGAGGAAGAACTAATAGAACAGATGTGTTTTTAAACTTAGACTCAGTTTTAGTGCTGATTCATAGAATTTTCTGCAGTGTTAAAAATGCTCTAGATGTGCCCTGAGAACGTGGTAGCACTTGGTAAGTTGAACTGCTGAGCACATGAAAGTCATATGGCTAGTACAACTGAGGAACTGTTTGGTTTTTAATTTTATTTTGTTATTTTATAGAGTCCCAATCCCATTATAACATTTGTTTCACGAAAGCCTTGCCACTAGTTCTGAAGCAGAGTTTATAGGAGAAAAAAAAAATGCAATTGGGCAATTGGTTATCAAGGAGCTATTATATATCCCAATAATTAATAAGATGAACAGGTTTGTTAAAAGTGGGAAGCTGGCCCACTCCTTCATTTTAATTTTGAGAGAAGGAAATGTGAAGATGAGGCCTTTGAGATGGTGTAGGTGCAGGACTGCAGGCCTGTTCTGCCTAAGAGCTGTGAGAAGACTGTCAGGTAGCATCTGGGACCAAGTAATTCAGAACAATTGTCTCTGGGACCCACGGCATCCTAGGTTTTCGAGATTCCGGGGACTCCACAGAAAAGGAAAATCAGGCCTCTTTTCGTAGTGCTAGCCTAAGGAAATAGTCGTTAAATTACCGAACTTATCTTCTTTGTTGTTTTTTTCCTTTCAGGAGCTCATCGATGTTGACAGCGAAGTGGTATTTGAACTGGCTTCCTATATTTTACAGGTAAGGTGTTCTCCCCTCCTCTCTGTTCCCAGGGCCACCCACAGAAGAAAGAGGAAATAAAACTTACCATGCATGGCCAGTAGCCACATGCCCTAACTCTTCTAGTCACAGGCTGGAAAGTCCTCCAAGTGACACTGATACCGTAGTAGCAAATAGGGCCTTCTAGTATTTGAAAATGTGGGGATAGTGTGTCTCTGTAAAGGAAAAGTGCGTGTTTAACCTGAGCCTGGGAGAAAGTCCATGATCATTCAGTGACCCTGTTTTTCACTCTGGGTCCCTTGTCTGCCCCAGTGGGGAAAAAAGCCAGGAGAATGAATTGCCAAAGAATCAACTCCTACAGTCCTAGCAAAACAAGGAAAAGTCCATTCACTTGCACAAAAGAGAGAGATGCTACCAAAGTATAAATGTGTAACTGCAAGAGGAATTGAAATGATTTCATTCATTTATTCCTTCAGTAAATAGGAATTGAACAGCTACTGTGTTGACGGCATTTTGCAAGATTCATTTAAGTCACCATGGTCTCTGCCTCCCAAACTTTGGTATAATTGGGAAATAATAACCTATAGAACAAAACAAAACAAGAAGTTGACACAAAACACAGGCACTTTTAGCCAGACACACGTTTGGATTCAGAATCTTCAACCTAGAACAGGTTAGACCAAGTCTAGGGTGGAAATGTGCGTTTGTCACTATGAATCATCATCTTCCTTTATAACTTTCTGAAGTTTAGTGCCCTACATTTGAATGGCAAACACATGCATTCTTTGTTGATTCTATTCCTGTAGCAAATAGGATGATAACAGTTGGAAGCTGAGCATACTCAGCAAGGGCGTTACCTTGATTTGGGAATATATAGTCTATAATGCTAGACTGACATTCAAATTAATTCACATTCCACTAACATTTATTTTTTTTCTTCTACAGGAGGCAAAAGGAGATTTTTCTAGGTGAGTTTCCAAAAGTTTGGAGGTTTTTGTTTGGTTAGCTTAAAAATGTAATCTGTTGCTCTTCTATTAAAAGAAGCTGTTCTGCCTATCCTATGTAGGAGAGTGTATTAATATTATACATTAGTGGGGCTGGCAGATGGCATGATGGTTAAGGTTCTGGACTCCAACATGGCCAGTCATGGTTCAAGTCCCGGACATCGTGGCTTGCATTCTCTATTTCTCTGGTCAAATTAAAAATTAATAATAAATAAAATTAAACAAGTAATTCTTTAAAAAAAAATGTTATACATTAGTGAGAGCCAACTCTGGATTTGTCAATTGAAGCAGACAGAGCAAGCAGAGGAAACAGTAACAGTGAGAAGAGTAATCTATTAATATGCTCAAGGACAGTCTAGAGGTTTCTGTGAAGCTCAGATCAGAGCCCTGTGTCATGCATGGCCATTGTACTGAGGTTTGAAGTTCCTCAAGAGTCTCACAAGCCTGGAATCCCTGCTGTAATGGGAACATGGTCACAGGGAACCTGCAGTCCTAACAAGTATGTGGATGTCTTTTTTTCCTCTTAGTTTAGTCCCTGACCCTTATGGAACAAAATGTTATTTCATAGGAAGGTTTCTTTCATGAAGGCGTTACAGCATTAATGTCCCACTTGTGCTTTCCTGCTTTCTCGGGGTATTGCTTTGGAGGAAACATAAACATGCGTAGTGCCTGGGAATCCGTGAACAGCTTTACTAGCCACAAGGAGCTACAAACTTGAATCTTGTCATTCATTTCACTCAGCACTGCCCATCGACCAACGTGGCTGAAATTGCCACGTAATTCCTCACGGTCATCATCGGAGCCTTCCCAGAGCAGAGGGCCATAACCACTTGCCAGCAGACTGGCTACTCAAAAACACTCCTGGGATCTGCTTATCAAACTGCCCTGAGAAAAGCTCAGGACAGTTCGTTCTTTAGACTCAAGAGCTACAGGCAAAAAGAGTGAATGAGGTGTACAGGAAGGGAAAGCATCGAGGCATGTGGTTCTGGCCCACCAGTAGGAAATTAACACACTGGTATTAAGAAATGAAATACAGGGACAAGCAAATGGTGTAATAGTTACGTCACTGGACTCCCATGTAGTTGACCGCAGTTCGAGTCCCAGACCCAGCATCTTCAAACACACCAGGCGTATGTGTGTGCATGCCCAAAATTCTGAGAGAACCAAGGAGAGGGGATTGTGGTGTGGCCATCCC